TTATATCGGTATGATACTTTTTCGCCGACTATATCAAGAGTCGATATTTTTTGCAAATATCGACCTAGTGTTCTTTACACTGCGCGCAACAGCTTCCGTTCGAACAAGTTAAAAAACGTGTATACAAAAATGGACAAGCCCTCCTTATCGTGCAAACTTTGCGGTAAAGTTGTGAAGACAATCTGTTAAATATTTTTCCAATATATCGATATATTGATATTCTCAAATTGATAATTTCGATATGGCGATATTTAAATTTACCAAATGCGGTCATATTGATTTGTGAAAACAAAACAAATTGATAAGATATACAAAAATGGTTTGCGAAAAAAGCGAAGCGAAGTTAACGAAAGTGTCGGCCCCAAATCCCTGGAAAACTAGCACCGCTCCAGCCGGTGGACGCAAGATAAATGAAAACAAAGCCCTATCCTCTGCCCGGGACCGATACAATCCCATGGGCACGACCCTGGCACCTTGCCGGTAAAAAACAAACAATACGTCGATTCCAGTCCTCTGACTGCTGGTCATTTCAGCATTTGCCGACAAAAGGTCCACCAGATGGGAGCCCACTACTGCCAGGCGTGCGCCTACAAAAAGGCCATATGCGCCATGTGCGGCAAGAAGATTCTAAACACAAAGAACTACAAGCAGAGCTCAACGTGATGCTGCAGTCCATGGCCACACGGCACCGAGGAGTTTATACTTAAGCATAACCTAGTTATAGACAACAGAATAATTATGTATATCAGATAGTATCAACAAATGCATAAATAAGTACATCAAGCCTCTGTCGTTGGCTTCTCCCGTCGCCGCTTGGCACTTTGGATCTGCGAGAGTAGCTGAGCGCCTCCTTGTCAAACTCAAGCGGCATAATGCCCAGATCTCCGCTGTAGCGGTTCTTGGCTATCTGCAAATACTTTTTGCCCCGCACCGATGTCAGTCGCTTGTCTTGAATGATGAGCACATTGTCCGCCTCCTGTGTGGCTTTGGCCGTGCCAAAGACGGAGCTCGTGGTGAGGTCATCCTCCTGGCGCTCCTTGCGCGGATGCATGACTAGCGTTACGTGGACATTGTGCTTGGTGGCGAAGCTGCGAAAGGCGGCAATGATGCCATCCTGCTCCCAGAACTTGTCGCCGCGAAACGAGGAGACTCCCATCATGAACTGGAGGTTGTCGATTATAATCGATAATTATCACATGCCCATTGGTATATGTTGTTTGCTACGTGTCCGTGTTCCCAGTATCGATCGCATGACCTAGCGTGACCGCTTGCAGAATTCCAGCCCCAGCTGTTGTATCGATATTTTATCCCACCATTTTCGAATTTACTAACAGCGGTGGCCGGCAAAAATGCAGCGTCACATTAGTAGCCTAAGGTAAAAATTTGCACAATCGAAGCTGGCTTTTCATATTCCATATACATATGAATATATATTTATTTATTTTTACATAAACAGTACAGCAGTTGAGTCGGGTTTATTCGTTTTGTGCACATCTTTTCTACACTTTCAAATTTGGAGTTTGGAATACCTGTCCGGTCCAAAAGCTAAGGAGTCCTAGTATCCCCCCAAAAATGGCGAAAGGCGCAGCTTCTGTATGATGTCCTTAAGCGCATTGATCTCGGCCGCATGGGGATCCATATTAATCACCGGCTTGTTTTTGATCTGAAGCGCACGACCCGCATAGCGCAAGGTGTCTGGGTCGGACACATTAAAGTCCGCGGGACTGACGCAGGCGATCATCAATGTGATGGAGTTGCCGCCCAGCGAGTCCTGCAGCAGGCGCGTCAGCTTTGACTGGCGGTACGGTATGTAAGCGCATTGATCTCGGCCGCATCAGGGATCCATATTAACCACCGGCTTGTTTTTGATCTGAAGCGCCCGATCCGCATAGCGCAAGGTGTCTGGGGTCTCGGACACATTATAGTCCGCGGGACTGACGCAGGCGATCATCAATTCGGCCTCACCGAATTGGAGGTCACTTCCGCTCATTTAATGCGTGGCTCTGCCGGTCGGGCTGTAGCAGCCACTGCAATGAACGAGACCTCGTCCCGTTCTCATGCCATTTTCACTCTCACCGTAGTTTCCAGCAAGCTGGAGGGAAGGTAAGTATGAACTGAAATACACACAGATTTATGTGAAAGTTTATTTTTGCATTCAATTCATCCATTGTGATCTTCAGGAAGGTGGTGACCACCTCCAAGATCAATCTGGTGGATCTGGCTGGCTCTGAACGCTGCTCCAAGACACTGGCCATCGGCGACCGCTTCAAGGAGGGGGTCAATATCAATAAAGGCCTGCTGGCCCTCGGCAACGTGATCAACGCATTGGGCTGTAGGTCCTCCTGCACATCCATAGCAAAATCCTTTCTCATTTTGTGTCCATTTTACAGCCGGACAAACTGCCGGTTACATACCGTACCGCCAGTCAAAGCTGACGCGCCTGCTGCAGGACTCGCTGGGCGGCAACTCCATCACATTGATGATCGCCTGCGTCAGTCCCGCGGACTTTAATGTGTCCGAGACCTTGAGCACCTTGCGCTATGCGGATCGTGCGCTGCAGATCAAAAACAAGCCGGTGGTTAATATGGATCCCCATGCGGCCGAGATCAATGCGCTTCAGGACATCATACAGAAGCTGCGCGCTGTTCCACCACCACTTGGCAGGGCCATTTCCGCACATCAATTCAGCCCCAAGCTAGACAGGTCAGAAAAACGAAGAAAACGACACAGCACCTGACAAATGTTCACTTTTGAAATAAAACCAATTTCCACTCTATTGTTTCCCTTTTTGCAGAAGGTATGGAATGGAATACAACACGATGTGCTATTTACGTTTATGATTTTAATGACGTAAAATCATAAACGTAAATGGCGCATCGTGTTGGGTCGGGATCCGATGGATGATCCACAGGCGGTTTCCCTTTCTACCTAAAAGAATTTACTAGGCATGCGGAACGTGAGCACAATATCCGAAGCATTGAATGTTAGACAGTTTTTCGCCCCAAATTCTTGTTTTCTTCACTTTACAATACATTAATGTACACATTTTAAATAATAATAATGATAATAATAATATTATAATGTTCCCTGCAATAGGTAGTAAATTGAACATTTAACAATAGTCTACACTAGTAGCGCATTAGTGTACATACAATAGTGTATTTAAAAGTCCACTGGCTTACCGTAGTTGGTCGATTTTTTCCGTCATCGCATTTTTTTGTTGCAATTCGGCAAACAATAAGTTAGGATTGTTGATATTATATCGATATATCGATATAGGTGATATTTTTATTTTTGATACGATTATATCGGTATGATACTTTTTCGCCGACTATATCAAGAGTCGATATTTTTTGCAAATATCGACCTAGTGTTCTTTACACTGCGCGCAACAGCTTCCGTTCGAACAAGTTAAAAAACGTGTATACAAAAATGGACAAGCCCTCCTTATCGTGCAAACTTTGCGGTAAAGTTGTGAAGACAATCTGTTAAATATTTTTCCAATATATCGATATATTGATATTCTCAAATTGATAATTTCGATATGGCGATATTTAAATTTACCAAATGCGGTCATATTGATTTGTGAAAACAAAACAAATTGATAAGATATACAAAAATGGTTTGCGAAAAGTGCGAAGCGAAGTTAACGAAAGTGTCGGCCCCAAATCCCTGGAAAACTAGCACCGCTCCAGCCGGTGGACGCAAGATAAATGAAAACAAAGCCCTATCCTCTGCCCGGGACCGATACAATCCCATGGGCACGACCCTGGCACCTTGCCGGTAAAAAACAAACAATACGTTGGATTCCAGTCCTCTGACTGCTGGTCATTTCAGCATTTGCCGACAAAAGGTCCACCAGATGGGAGCCCACTACTGCCAGGCGTGCGCCTACAAAAAGGCCATATGCGCCATGTGCGGCAAGAAGATTCTAAACACAAAGAACTACAAGCAGAGCTCAACGTGATGCTGCAGTCCATGGCCACACGGCACCGAGGAGTTTATACTTAAGCATAACCTAGTTATAGACAACAGAATAATTATGTATATCAGATAGTATCAACAAATGCATAAATAAGTACATCAAGCCTCTGTCGTTGGCTTCTCCCGTCGCCGCTTGGCACTTTGTTCGTAGCTGAGCGCCCCTTGTCAAACTCAAGCGGCATAATGCCCAGATCTCCGCTGTAGCGGTTCTTGGCTATCTGCAAATACTTTTTGCCCCGCACCGATGTCAGTCGCTTGTCTTGAATGATGAGCACATTGTCCGCCTCCTGTGTGGCTTTGGCCGTGCCAAAGACGGAGCTCGTGGTGAGGTCATCCTCCTGGCGCTCCTTGCGCGGATGCATGACTAGCGTTACGTGGACATTGTGCTTGGTGGCGAAGCTGCGAAAGGCGGCAATGATGCCATCCTGCTCCCAGAACTTGTCGCCGCGAAACGAGGAGACTCCCATCATGAACTGGAGGTTGTCGATTATAATCGATAATTATCACATGCCCATTGGTATATGTTGTTTGCTACGTGTCCGTGTTCCCAGTATCGATCGCATGACCTAGCGTGACCGCTTGCAGAATTCCAGCCCCAGCTGTTGTATCGATATTTTATCCCACCATTTTCGAATTTACTAACAGCGGTGGCCGGCAAAAATGCAGCGTCACATTAGTAGCCTACGGTAAAAATTTGCACAATCGAAGCTGGCTTTTCATATTCCATATACATATGAATATATATTTATTTATTTTTACATAAAAAGTACGGCAGTTGAGTCGGGTTTATTCGTTTTGTGCACATCTTTTCTACACTTTCAAATTTGGAGTTTGGAATACCTGTCCGGTCCAAAAGCTAAGGAGTCCTAGTATCCCCCAAAAATGGCGAAAGGCGCAGCTTCTGTATGATGTCCTTAAGCGCATTGATCTCGGCCGCATGGGGATCCATATTAATCACCGGCTTGTTTTTGATCTGAAGCGCACGATCCGCATAGCGCAAGGTGCTCAGGGTCTCGGACACATTAAAGTCCGCGGGACTGACGCAGGCGATCATCAATGTGATGGAGTTGCCGCCCAGCGAGTCCTGCAGCAGGCGCGTCAGCTTTGACTGGCGGTACGGTATGTAAGCGCATTGATCTCGGCCGCATCAGGGATCCATATTAACCACCGGCTTGTTTTTGATCTGAAGCGCACGATCCGCATAGCGCAAGGTGCTCAGGGTCTCGGACACATTATAGTCCGCGGGACTGACGCAGGCGATCATCAATTCGGCCTCACCGAATTGGAGGTCACTTCCGCTCATTTAATGCGTGGCTCTGCCGGTCGGGCTGTAGCAGCCACTGCAATGAACGAGACCTCGTCCCGTTCTCATGCCATTTTCACTCTCACCGTAGTCTCCAGCAAGCTGGAGGGAAGGTAAGTATGAACTGAAATACACACAGATTTATGTGAAAGTTTATTTTTGCATTCAATTCATCCATTGTGATCTTCAGGAAGGTGGTGACCACCTCCAAGATCAATCTGGTGGATCTGGCTGGCTCTGAACGCTGCTCCAAGACACTGGCCATCGGCGACCGCTTCAAGGAGGGGGTCAACATCAATAAAGGCCTGCTGGCCCTCGGCAACGTGATCAACGCATTGGGCTGTAGGTCCTCCTGCACATCCATAGCAAAATCCTTTCTCATTTTGTGTCCATTTTACAGCCGGACAAACTGCCGGTTACATACCGTACCGCCAGTCAAAGCTGACGCGCCTGCTGCAGGACTCGCTGGGCGGCAACTCCATCACATTGATGATCGCCTGCGTCAGTCCCGCGGACTTTAATGTGTCCGAGACCTTGAGCACCTTGCGCTATGCGGATCGTGCGCTGCAGATCAAAAACAAGCCGGTGGTTAATATGGATCCCCATGCGGCCGAGATCAATGCGCTTCAGGACATCATACAGAAGCTGCGCGCTGTTCCACCACCACTTGGCAGGGCCATTTCCGCACATCAATTCAGCCCCAAGCTAGACAGGTCAGAAAAACGAAGAAAACGACACAGCACCTGACAAATGTTCACTTTTGAAATAAAACCAATTTCCACTCTATTGTTTCCCTTTTTGCAGAAGGTATGGAATGGAATACAACACGATGTGCTATTTACGTTTATGATTTTAATGACGCAAAATCATAAACGTAAATGGCGCATCGTGTTGGGTCGGGATCCGATGGATGATCCACAGGCGGTTTCCCTTTCTACCTAAAAGAATTTACTAGGCATGCGGAACGTGAGCACAATATCCGAAGCATTGAATGTTAGACAGTTTTTCGCCCCAAATTCTTGTTTTCTTCACTTTACAATACATTAATGTACACATTTTAAATAATAATAATGATAATAATAATATTATAATGTTCCCTGCAATAGGTAGTAAATTGAACATTTAACAATAGTCTACACTAGTAGCGCATTAGTGTACATACAATAGTGTATTTAAAAGTCCACTGGCTTACCGTAGTTGGTCGATTTTTTCCGTCATCGCATTTTTTTGTTGCAATTCGGCAAACAATAAGTTAGGATTGTTGATATTATATCGATATATCGATATAGGTGATATTTATACCCGTACTCAAAAAAGAGTTAAGGGGTATATTAGATTTGTGGTAAAAGTGGATGTGTGTAACGCAGAGAAGGAAACGTTTCCGACCCCATAAAGTATATATATTCTTGATCAGCATCAATAGCCGAGTCGATATAGCCATGTCTGTCTGTCCGTCTGTCTGTCTGTCTGTCTGTCTGTCTGTCTGTCTCGATGAGCGCCTAGATCTCAGAGACTATAAGAGCTAGGGCAACCAAATTTGGTTTTCAGACTCATGTGATATCCCACTGCTACAAGTGTATTTCAAAATTTCGCCCCGCCCCCTTCCGCCCCCACAAAGAACGAAAATCTGTGGCAGGCACAATTTTAAAGATACGATAAAACTAAAAACGCAGTATCGTAGAGAATGCCCATATCTACCAGACTGCCGAATCTGAATCAGATCGGATCATAATTATAGCCAGAATGAAGAAATTAATTTTCAGTGGCTTCCCCTGCCCCCTCCTCACGAAAACGACAACGCATCTCATTTTCCTTCTCGCTCGCACACTCTGCCGTGTTCAGTGCGCGAGCAACCCCTAGTGGAGGAGATGTAGAATCTACATGTTAGATGTAGAATATACATAATATAAGTAGATGTAGATAACAGATGTAGCAAAAAAATGTAATATGTAAAATTTGTTTATACCCGAACTCAAAAAAGAGTTAAGGGGTATATTAGATCTGTGGTAAAAGTGGATGTGTGGAACGCAGAGAAGGAAACGTTTCCGACCCCATAAAGTATATATATTCTTGATCAGCATCAATAGCCGAGTCGATATAGCCATGTCTGTCTGTCTGTCTGTCTCGATGAGCGCCTAGATCTCAGAGACTATAAGAGCTAGAGCAACAGAATTTTGTATCCAGACTGCTGTGATATCACAGTGTTACAAGTGTATTTCAAAATTTCGCCCCGCCCCCTTCCGCCCTCACAAAGGACGAAAGTCTGTGGCAGCCACAATTTTAAAGATACGCAAAAACTAAAAACGCAGTATCGTAGAAAATTACCATATCTACCAATTGCCTTGAAAGTGGATCAATTATAGCCAGAATGAAGAAATTAATTTGAGTTAGCTAACCTACCCACATTCTCTCTCTCACTCGCACACACTACCGCGTGCAGTGTGCGACCTGCTTTCCCGTTAAGCCAAAAGCAAATATGTATGTAATAAGCCCATAAGTATATAATATATGGAATTATAATATATACATTTTATGTATGTAAGTACATGCATCTACACATATGTACATACATACATACATATGCAGTTATTTTAATCAACGTAGTGTGTGATCGGTGGGGAGGGGACCAGCGAATGCAAATTTTCAGTCTCTTTCCAAACAAACGGTGCGCAGTCTGCTTGTTGATGCCTTACAACAACCCTCCTCCCACATTAACAAATCAACCTGTCTCTTTTACCAACATCTGGACTAAAGAGAGAAAGCGAGAGAGCGTGCTTAGCAATATCACATGTTAGCAACAAGAAAATCACTACCAACGGCCCACCTAGGAAATAAGTTGAACCAAAGACTCTATAGAGTCATTGGTTGAATCAATTATGTACATATAAATATTTTTAAAACCAATGGACATATGTACATATATACGTACATTTACTTATCTACATACATATCCATATCAATGTAGGTCCTACATATGTACATGCAGCTGTTTAAGTCAGCCGGTATATTTTAGGGAAGGGGAGGGGGACCAGCGAATGCATGTTGTCGTGTAAATATCCCTTTAAAAATAATGAGAATTGGCCGTTAAAACAAACGCGAAATCTAAAACACCAGCGGCTTCCAAGTGCGCTCTCTCACACTCTCTCTTTATATTATCCCTTCCACAATCAGGGACGGTTTAGGTCCTGGGCGCAAAATGTAAGGGGCGCCAGATTCCGAAGGGAAATTTATTCAAAAAGGTATATTAGTATAGCTCCATGGAATGCGAAATATTTCGTTTATATTTGGCAACTTGGCCAATGCGACGTCATAACACGTAATTCCGGCCCTGTCCACAATTCCACAAGTGAGATGCGCGATGCGCTGTCGTCTCCAGCTCTCCCCCCCCTGATTACGCAATCACTGACCCTGACAACAGCGCAACCAACGGGGGGTGCCGCCCCCCAGTAACAATTTGTTTATCAATTTATAGCAAGTAGTAGTTAGTAATATATATATATTAATACCTTAGATATGCTTTATTAGCCTTTACAGCAGCGTACAGCCGTTAATTTAGGGGGGGACGAGTTTGACCTGAAAATCCTATGGAGGAATGAGACCGCAATGTCTTTGAGTTATTCTCTCTATCTCTCTGTTTCCACTTGAGAGTTCTCTGCCCACTCAGACAAGTGCTCTCTCAATTGAGAATATGCGCGGCTGTCTATTTACACACATGCATGCACATACATACAGCGAACAGCGATAGCAAAAGAGAAATAGTAAATAAAATCATTTACCACCCACCACCCCACGCCATAGGAATGCAATTAGAAGTATAAACATATTCTAGTTAAAACATTTGCATAGAAATGGCTCAGACAGATTGGTTTTCTGCTGTACATATGTAAATACATACATACATATGCATTGAATTGTCCGTTACGCATGCATGTTTTGACTCGGTTTTTTCTTCCTTTTGCGCTCTACTTTTTTACTTGCTCTTGAGTAAAAAAACCGCGGAATCTCAGTAAGCAATTGTATTGGTTTGACCAGTCGATATCGAGCCACTGTGAGCGATAGAGACTTCCCGATTGCCGATTGCGATAAAGTGCGTTAAATAATCATATTTAAACTAGTTTAGCTCTTAGATTAATAGCTAAAAGTAGTGCTTGCTAGGGAGTGATATAGGGACTTAGTTTTTCTGCGCCGATCGTGAGTTAGAAGCGATTAGTAGTAGCTAACTGCGTCGGTGCAATCGCGCGCGCTTTTTGGTGCCGCTGCTGACGTCGCTGCTGACGTCGCTGCTGCCTTCCAGACGGACGTCGCTGCTGCCTTCCCACGGACGTTACTGCTGCTCGCTCCGCTTTGGGGAGTATTTTTTTGTAGTTGTAGATTTTATATGTAGTTTTTGTATTTTCTAATTATTTCCTGTAGTTTCTTTTCTTATAATTATTAATATATTATATTATTATTATTATATTATTTTATATTATTATATTATATTATTATTTTATTATATTATATATTATTATTATATATTTTTTCATATTATTTCATATTATTATTTTTAAATTTATACATTTTTGTAAAATGCCACGTAGGAATAGAGCAATCTGCTTCTCAACAGTCTCAGAGACGCAGGTTGAGAAACAGATCAAATAGGGAACAGTTAGAAAATAGTTTAGAAAATTCAGATTCTGATAGGAACCAGCAACAGGAGATTGAGGTGCAAGGACAGGTAGGAGGTAGGCAGGTTCTAGCTGTAGCGCTGGGAGAACAGGCAGCCATCTCTGTTGAAGAGAATACACGAGGATATACGACAAGACGACAAGTGGCCGATATTGTGCGTCGGTCCACACGGATACGGGACCAACCTTTAGGAAATATAGAAAGACGAGTAGGCGAGGAGACTCCGAGACAGGGCCAAGTGGCCGACACTCTGCGTCGGTCCAGACGGAGACGTAGCCAAAGGTATAGAGCTATAGAACAGGGACAAGATACAGCACAACGCATACAAAGACGAACAGACGCACAGATTAGACGTGAGGAGCAAGCGGCCGATACTGTGCGTCGGTCCACACGAAGACAGGACTCGGACTATAGGACAAGAGAGCAGGCACAAGATTCAGCACATCGCATACGAAGACGAACAGACGCACAGATTAGACGTGAGGAGCAAGCGGCCGATACTGTGCGTCGGTCCACACGAAGACAGGACTCGGACTATAGGACAAGAGAGCAGGGACAAAATACAGCACAACGCATACAAAGACGAACAGACGCACAGATTAGACGTGAGGAGCAAGCGGCCGATACTGTGCGTCGGTCCACACGAAGACAGGACTTGGACTATAGGTCTACAGAGCAGGGACAAAATACAGCACAACGCATACAAAGACGAACAGACGCACAGATTAGACGTGAGGAGCAAGTGGCC